GCTGAGCAGAGACGGCCGCAGCCACGAGAAAGGCAAGAAGAGGCAGAGCCGGGGGAAGGCCAAGCCGGTGGTCAGCGACGACGACAGCGACGAGGAAGATAACGTACGTCCATCACTCACGCGTCTCGAGCAGCTGATGGAGCTCACCGTGACGCGGATAAACCTGTTGGGTTAGACCTTCAGAGTTCTGCGTCGTTAGACGGTCACCAGCTTCACCAGACGGCACCTCCTCCTCATCATTCTGCTGACTCAGCTCGCAGCGGGGCCTCACTCACGACTAGTCGTCTGTCAAACCACAGGAAGTGGCCGTTTATCTCCGTGCTGCAGGAATGTGCTCATCCTATCTTCTAAATCTGGTCTCATTCACGTTAGCTTCCCGCTGAAACCGTCTCTGGTTCACAAAACCACGTCCGTCAGTGGGGGAGTTGTGGTGTCACACCAGCGATCACGCTCCCAAAAGAGCAAAGACCCGAGTTAAGAGTCCTTTTAGCTGAAATGTACCAAAACTTTTAATTCCATGTGATTCCTTTGGAAACGCAGCTGTGACTCTGACCTTAACCCTCGCTGTGACTCTGGGCAGACTTTAGCATCGCTTCGGACTCCTCCGAAGTGTCCCCGCTCTTATTAAAACAGAACAGTTAGTCTTCTATTAATGTGACAAATGCTTACCGTACCAACTGTATTTATTAAGCACATTTGAAAACGGCATGGATGTGTGGGATTGTGACGAGGGACGGGTTTGTCTTTGTGAGTCAGAAGATTGAACCCTTCTTCGTCTGGGAGGAGGTCCTTTCCAAACGTGCGGCTGCAGAAACCACCATGTTGGATTCCCGTCAGCATCAGATCATCACATCCTGGTTTTCAGCCTAAACCAGGAATAACGGAGCCGGACCGTTTTAGGAAGACATTTTTCAGGCAGATTCACGACTTTCTTCAAATGCGTGTATAATAATCCCAGATGAGCATGACAGGAAGTGACATCATTCCATCAAAACATTAGTGTCTTTTACTCTGATGATGTCACGTCAGGCTGAAGATGTAGTTGTAAACAGATGTTGATGATTTTGTTGCAGTTGAGGCTCAAACAGCCTTCGTGTGTTCATTTCAGTTTGTGGTTAGTTTGGCGCCGACTCGGACGATTTCCTGTTTAAACCTCCAGCAACGCAAGCGCCACACCCTCAGACCCCAGCGAGGAGGCGGAGACACGTCGCTAACGTTCCCGTCGGTCGCGTTCCGGTCTGAGAAACATTATGGTCTGTCGTCACGCGGTTTTGCTTTTGTCACGACGACGGCGCCGATACCGAACCACCGGGTGTGTTCTCCTCGGCCGATGTGTTTGAGCCTTCGTCCAATCAGAGCAAGAAGATCTGAGGACTTCAGCGGCCCCCTCCTCCTCCTCCTCCTCCCCTCTCTTCCTCCTCCTTCCCCTCCTCCTCCTCCTCCTCCTCCTCCCCCTCCCCTCTCCTCCTCCTCCTCCTCCCCCTCCCCTCTCCTCCTCCTCCTCCTCCCCCATCCCCTCCAGCCCTTTAGATATGTTGGATTCTGACAACTCTCCTCCCTCTTCTCCTCCCCCTCCCCCTCCTCTCCCCCCTTCTCCTCCATCCCCTCCCCACCATCCTCTCCTCCTCCCCCCTTCTCCTCCCTTTGCTCCCCCCAATCCTCCTCTGCCCCCCTTTTCCTCCTCCATCCCCTCCCCACTATCCTCCCCTCCTCCCCCCCTTCTCCTCCCCCCTCCTCCTCCTCCTCCCCCCCTCTCTTCCTCCTCCTTCCCCTCCTCATCCTCCTCCTCCTCCCCTCTCCTCCTCCTCCTCCTCCCCCATCCCCTCCAGCCCTTTAGATATGTTGGATTCTGACAACTCTCCTCCCTCTTCTCCTCCCCCTCCCCCTCCTCTCCCCCCTTCTCCTCCATCCCCTCCCCCCAATCCTCCTCTGCCCCCCTTTTCCTCCTCCATCCCCTCCCCACTATCCTCCCCTCCTCCACCCCCCTTCTCCTCCCCCAGCCCTTTAGATATGTTGGATTCTGACACCTCTCCTCCCTCTTCTCCTCCTCTCCCCCTTCTCCTCCTCCATCCCCTCCCCACCATCCTCCCCTCTCCTCTTCCTCCCTCTGCTCCCCCAATCCTCCTCTGCCCCCTTCTCCTCCCCCCTCCCCTCCCCCCCCCATCTCCTTCTACTCCTCTTCCCAGTCCTTTAGATATGTTGGATTTTGACGACTCTCCTCCCTCTGCTCCCCCCTTCTCCTCCTCTATCCCCTCCCCACCATCCTCCCCTCTCCTCCTCCTCCTCCCCACCCCCAGTCCTTTAGATATGTTGGTTTCTGACTCTCCTCCATCTGCGTTTCTTCTTAAATCTCACTCCTACGTCTTTCATCTGTTTCTCTGCAGGATCAGTCAGACAAGAGCAAAAGTGACGACGACTGAGGACGCGAGGACAGGAAGTTGTTTGTAGAGCAGAAGGACAAAATCTTCCATTCCTGGAGTTCTGAGTCGTCATTTGTAATTTTTGTGTTTGTATTTCTTCTGTGTGTGCGCGCGTGTGTGTGTGTGTGTGTGTGTGTGTGTTGTCGTCACTCGCTTCGAGATGTTTTGCTAATCAATCAGTATCAAACAGCAATAGCAATCGGCTCCTGTTTGTAACCGTTTTCTAGTCTTTCTACACAGAAATGATCTTTATAGGAACCAAACCCGCCGGCTTGGTCTGAAAAGGTCCGTTAAAAATGAGTTTAGATCGGGTTTAACATCAAATACAAAACCTCCATGTTTATTTTTAGATGTTTTTTTTCTTTAACTTTGTGCTTTGTCAAATATTTGAGAATTAAAAATAATAAATATAAAAAATGTTATTGGAGCAGTAACTAATTACCACGTTTTATAAACATATATAGAACTACATTTAAAATAAGTGCGTGACCTGTGGGTATTAAAGGATGATGAAATCAGTATTATTATTATTATTATTATTATTATTATTATTATTAGTTTATAAAGATGAATGTTCGTGGACTCGAGGTCGTTCTTATTTCTAACGAATCTGACGGGCATCTTCTGATTGAGTTAATCAAAACTTGGCTTTAAGAGAATTTACCTATTAATCAGATTAGATGTTTTAGGATTAAAATCTCTGGTTTTGCCTTTTCTAGATTGGTTTCCATAATCTGAGGTTTTAAATGTTTTGAAGATTTTAGATTTTGCCCATTTGAGTAAGTATTTATGTCACAAACTTAAATAACTTTCCGCCAGAGGAGTTCAGTGACTAGTTAGGGTTAAGGTTTGTGAAAACTAAAATAAACCAGCTTCATTTAACATCTGTGCATCATTAATGCTGATGAAATAAAAAGCTCAGTTTGGTCTGAATCCTCGACTGTAAACTTCCGTTTGTCGCTCATAAAGTCTCGAGCGATCCTGGAGGGAGACGAAGACAATCATTCATAACCAACCGGGTTCAAACCATCCGTGTCACGGTTCTGTCAGATTAGACTTTAGAATAATCCACCAAGGTTCCCATAAATAACTCTAGCTCCTCCCAGATAATCCGACTTCAGGAGCATTAACCTGTCCGCGTTTCGTCGCCAGGTTGATGTGAAAGCGCATGTTAGCTTTAGCATGTCAGACGCTAAAGCTACGCTGTCATTTCCAACAGCTACATTAGCACCGACGGCTAACGACAGGCAGATGTTCCAGCGGTGGTGACTAAATTCAGACTTGACAGAAAGTCGGCAACCAAACAATCAACGGAACAGCTGAATAAATGTGAGATTACCAGAAATGCTTTTATTTGATGCACTCGTAGATTATAAAGATGACGTGTTATTTAGCCAAGTCCACGAGTTTCATGTGCTTTTAAACCTTTCTGTTGCTTTCTCGTCACAATTGTCCTCATTTACTGATGAAATGGTTTCATTAGTTTAGTAAGAACGGTTTCTGACACGAAGCCGGCGTCTAGCAGCAAACGTAGCTCGGGACAACACGCTGCTGTCTGCCGGTTTTCTTGTCCACAACAACAAATACTACAGATAATATTTTAATAGACTTGTAAGCAGACGCAGATGAAAGCATCGGTATATTTGTATTCATCTAGAGATGTTTGTTAGTTTGAAGGCTTCGTGCCGTGTTAGCAGCATGATTTCTGTTTGTGTAACGTGCTTTGCCGACTCCACGCGCCCAATTTCCTTCTCCTGCCTTCTTTGCACAGCGTCTTTGTGGTTGTACCTCATAGCCCAGAGCAAATAAATATCACTGATTTCAAGCACAAATGCTGGTTTTTGTTTTTCTCAATAATCTGTGCAGTCCCTGTCTCCGGTCTGAAGTTCAGAATGTCCACATGCACAGGAACACCGGGCAGAAGAGTCGGAGCTCCTTTCTTTGGACTTCCTCTGAATATTTTGCTGGTAGGACCTGAGGGATGCATCGTCCTCCAGCGGATCTACCCAGTCCTGTAGCAGCGTAACTAAAGGGCTGAGCCAGGACAACCTAGTCCCATAGCAGCATAACTAAAGGGCTGAGCCAGGACAGCCCAGTCCCATAGCAGCATAACTAAAGGGATGAGCCAGGACAGCCCAGTCCCATAGCAACGTAACTAAAGGGATGAGCCAGGACAACCCAGTCCTGTAGCAGCGTGACTAAAGGGATGAGCCAGGACAACCTAGTCCCATAGCAGCATAGCTAAAGGGATGAGCCTGGGCTACCCAGTCCTGTAGCAGCATAGCTAAAGGGATGAGCCTGGGCTACCCAGTCCTGTAGCAGCGTGACTAAAGGGATGAGCCAGGACAACTTAGTCCCATAGCAACGTAACTAAAGGGATGAGCCAGGACAACCCAGTCCTGTAGCAGCGTGACTAAAGGGATGAGCCTGGGATACCCAGTCCCATAGCAGCATAACTAAAGGGATGAGCCAGGACAACCCAGTCCTGTAGCAGCGTGACTAAAGGGATGAGCCAGGACAATCCAGTCCTGTAGCAGCATAACTAAAGGGATGAGCCAGGACAATCCAGTCCTGTAGCAGCATAACTAAAGGGATGAGCCAGGACAATCCAGTCCTGTAGCAGCATAACTAAAGGGATGAGCCTGGGATACCCAGTCCTGTAGCAGCATAACTAAAGGGATGAGCCAGGACAACAGACTTGAGAACACATTTTTGAAAAGCTGCAGTCTCTGATCAGTTTTCTGTTCATCTCTTACGTTTGGGAAGATCCTGAATGTTTGGTGAAAGGAAGCCTCTGACGGCTTCAGACAGGGTTTGGGTCAGATCCTTTTAACAGAACACGGACTGGACCTTTGACCCGAGTCCCTCTGCTGGGCTCTTCCTGTCCTTCCTGGTGCCGGACCGTGGCGTCCAGCTCCATCACCAGAGGGTGGACGTAGGACCATCACACTCCACGGAACATCAAAAAGTTTCACAAAGCCAATTCCCCTGAAGAATGAGCGACCATCGCCCCTTTTTATCTCCCTCTTTGAAGTTTGGCTTGTTGCAATAGGCTGAGCCCAGGAAGAGATGGGCAAAGTGGATGTTAATCCTCGTCTAAGCAGCAGAGATGTCAGGTGCCAGAGCCATTCCTGCTATTCCTCTGTAGCTTTTGTCCGAGGCTCCGCCATCATCACACGCTCCAAACCCAACTGAAATCGGAGTTTTCCCTCCGATCTGAAAGGGCCAGGTGTTCTGTGTTATTGGAGGGTCCGGTTTATGTGGTGAAACGGACCCTATCGATGCTTGCACGACTTAAAAGGAAGAGCGGGAAGAGGCTTTGTCTCCCTTCGAATTCCGAGGTTCACTATCAGTTTAACGCATGATCGAGGAAAAGGCCCACTTTCCTTTGCGGCGCTGAGACCTTTTAATCTGTCCTCAGATGGGACGAGATTTCATATCCAAACAGGACCGAAACCCTGAAACCATCACACCTGCTTCGTGGAAGGTCACACGAGGACCGCTATCCACTTCAAACCTGCTGACGCCATTAGAAAATCATGTCGTCTAAAACGGTCCTGCTCGGAATAAATTAGGATTTTCTTTGCTGAAAGCTCAGGGGTCGGACGTTTGTGGATAAAATAGAGAAAACAAAACACAGCAGTTTGGCTCTTTTGGACTTCTCTCCAGTTCTTCTGAGCATTAAAGACACAATGATCTGAATTTACAATAAAACAAGTCTTGGATTAGACGTAGTCTGTAATCTGGGCTGTGATTAGGTCACCAGTGCAGGATCCACTTTTCAATCTGAATAGAAAAAGCAAAGAAAAACGTCTTCATGGATCAGAAAAGGTCTGGCTGTCTTTGTTTGGACCTTCTAGGGTTATTGGAATAGAGGCTCCTAGTACCAGGTGGTACCAGCCGGTCCATATTCTGGTGCAGAACTGCGCTCTGCCGCTGATGTCTGTGGTCTTCCTGGATCCGGTCTCAAGTCCGAGAGAAGAAGGTGTCTGGTACTGGATGTGGTTCATTAACTGTTAACATCCCAGGTAAGAGACAGCTCCTCCAACTCCATGGATCTCATCTGGAAAATTGTGGAATGTTCCATCCAGGTTGGGATGAAGGAGGTCTGGTGTCTCCTGAGTGATGGGAGGACCAGCGGATCAGGATTTTGAAGGAGAATGTTGATCTGAGCTTCATTTACTGGCCCGTCTAAACCAGGGAAGTCCAGACCTTTCAGTACCAGGGCCAAATATTTCATATTCATTTTTTACACATTTGTTCTGAAATTGGTCTAAAATATGCAAATTAGCAAAAAATCTGAGCATAAAAATGTCTAAAAAAGTGTCGGTCGTTCAGGAGTCTAAATGAGAGAGAGGTTTCATTTTTCTAGCAATTCAACTGGAGGCCGGATTAAATCAGCCCAAGGCCCGCCAACGGCCCCGGCCCCGTGCGTGGACGTGCCTGATCTAAACTCTGCTTTAGTCAAGATTAGTAGGCCAACAGAAGGAGATCCTGGATCTGAGCAGAACCTGTCTGGGATTATCAGCGAATGAGTCTGCTGCAGTGGTTCTGATCAGAGGCTTCCTGGTCCAGGATTACAAATCCTCTGTTCTGGAAACACCTGGAGATCCTCTCTGAGCAGAGTGAGGCTGACTTTTCCTCCATCAGCTGACTCGAAGTACCCAGGTGGAAGATCTGAACGTCTGGTGAGTTCGCCATCGCTCAGAAGCAACCCGCTCCGACCTCACCAGAACCCAGATCCGTTCTGTGGTGTTGGAGTTCCGTGACTCATAAAGTTTCTGCTTCAAGCTTCCAGAGGAAGTGACATCATGATTAGGTCTAGGTGTTCGTTGTCCCTAAAGCATTGAAGATGTTCAGATTAGCAGAGTTTGGATCTATGGATTAAAGTCATATAAATTAGGCATTTTATTGATATGAAGAGCTGAACTGCACTTCCTTTAATCCTTCACATTAAGAGTCTCAAACGTACAGTACATGTGAACCTCTGGAGCTTAAAAAACAGTTGATTGTTGCTTTTTTTAATCATATCAGATGAAAATAATTACAGGAGAATTTGTGGAAGAAAGCATCAAAGACAGTTCTCTTTACTTTAGTGCAGCTGAGCTTCACACGTTTTA